GCACTTGCGAACGGGGAACATGAGATGCTGGAGCTGACCCTGCAGAAAGACCATCTCCATATTCAAGTACTTCTCCGCTCTCCAGTTGCTCCACACTAATTTCAGAGTTAGAGGCAGAATATGCTGGGTCTAGCCCAGAAGCATCTATACCGAGCATAAAGGGCGCCGGTCCACCTAGAACAGGGGCGTGCAGATTGGTCGACACTTGCATGGTGCTTTCCCCCAGAATCCCTTCTTTAGGCATGATATTGTTCCCAGTAGGTGATGCATTCGCCGCATTGTCGATTGTGTGGCTTTCTTGGGAGCTCCGCGTTTGTAGGTCAACCCATCGTGTTTCTTGAGTTTCTCCTTCTGCGATGGAAGGAAAATTTGCCTCTGGCCCTTCAGCAACTGCAAAAGAAGGTGACGAGGAAGAAGGCTGAGAGACGGAATGAAAAACATTTGTTTGCACTTGCGAACGGGGAACATGAGATGCTGGAGCTGACCCTGCAGAAAGACCATCTCCATGTTCAAGTACTTCTCCGCTCTCCAGTTGCTCCACGCTAATTTCAGAGTTAGAGTAAGCTGGGTTCCACGCGGAATCATCCAGATCAAGCATAGACGGTGCCTGCTTGCCTACAAAAGGTGAGTGCAGGTTAGTCGAGGCTTGCACGCTCTCTGCCTGCAAGTTCCCTTCTTCTGATTTGGAAGTGCTGGCAGCCACCAACGGTGATGTCTCCGCGCCGTCGGTTGTGCGCGCTGTTGCTGGGGCCCAGCTTCCGACTTCAGAGCAAAGCCATGCTAGTTCCTCTGGCCCAAGAAAAGTCAAATCACCTTCCACGTAGAAGGGGTTCTGCGGGCGCCCAGATCTCCCGTGGCTACTGTGATCTGCAAGGAGACGTATTGACGCGCCCTCATTCACTGTGTTCCATTGTGTGTTCTGGCAGTGTGAAAGCAACACAGAAAAACCTACAAGGTAAGCGAGTATCAGCCACACTGAGACGCGGAAGGCTTTCGTTTCCTTTTTGTGCGGCCTTGCCGAAACGCCACGCGCATCTTTCGAGCTATGTATGGGCTCATCAACACAGAGTTGTTTTTCTGCGTGAGCGCGTCCATCAGAAGGCTCGCACGGGCGCAAAGCATGGCTATCCTTTAGATATACCTCGGGGTCTACCCTAGATGCCAAATCCATCTTTGTGAACATGGTTTGGGGCCCAGCAAAAAGAGGCTTCCTCTGCATACGTTTGGCTTAACGAAATTTGCGGCTTCGGATCATGCATCTCTGAGCATCTTGTGTAAATTCCGAAGGCCTCAAACTGAGGAGATGAGGAATGGAAAGCCGATATGAAATCGACGAACGTTCACAGAATGCTTTTCACGCATTCAAAAGCTCAACATTTTGAACTGTTTAAGTTAATGATTGCACTTGCTATCCGCGTAGCCTTTTCGGAGTTTGCGTCACGGTGGCCCGTCACAGATCCTCCGCAATGGCATCCACCGCTACCGTTGCATCGACTCATCTCAACCGTTTAGCCAATCTCTGATCATAGAGGAAGTGTGTTATATTTCTGTTTTATCTTGTGCGATTAAAACAGATTTTGCTATTTCATGTCGAAGGCTCTCGCGGACCGTGTCTCCAGATCTACTTCATGACGCGGCCCATCGATGATTCTAGATCACTGTACAGGTTCTGCTGTCTGCGATCCCGAAATTCCATGCAGGTTCAAGACCATCTTATCGCTAGGTAACGTGATACACTCAAACGAATTAATATTTAAACCTATTCGGTTGCCGGTCTGTTCGTTTGGGAACGACGGTTTGTAGCAACCGTGGCCATTTGGGACATTGAAACGAACAGACGGCTAGGACCACTACCAAAGCACTTTATATCACTACCCTTCCTGTATAGCATAAAAGGGCCAGCCAGATGCAGTTCTGGACCACCACTTACCGTAATCAATTTCCAGTGTGCTGCTACCGCTAGAAAAATTCGAGTGGTTCAAGCTTTTCAAATGGCCAGGGCGTTTTGCATGTATGTTTTCTTTTTCAGCCGTCTTCCATAGAATTTTCGTCCTTCTCTTCCGTGTAGGGTATGAATTTGGGTAGTGGGGACTTCGGTATCCAAAGACATTGCACTTTTCAGAGGGAACTGTGAGTGTCTGCCGGGACATTTACTGGGCTTCCGCAGGCCACTTTATGCGATGCCTGCAACAGGTACAGCCTTTTCGGGTGCATCATCGACCAAGACGCAGCTGGTACATGGTGTTCCGTAGATTTGTTTGTCGAAGTTCCTGACCAGCTCATTCGTAACCTCTCCCTCCACATTCATTGGCTTCATGGGCTCCCCACCACTAGTTAACTTCCTTTAGGGAGGAATATTTTGGTTCCTGTCAGTGTATAGTCGGCTGGCAGCTTTGCTCTGCCTTCAGATGATCTGAGTCATGCTCTATGCACTCAAGCCACTTGCTTTGCTGCTCCTCCAGTTGATTGTTTCTACAGATTTGCGGAGCTGTTCGCTTTTAGCGGCAACCCAATTCTTCACAGTGAGCCCTGTTTGCGTAGGATTGCTCAATCTTTCAGCTATTTTTTCTTTAGCGTTTGACCCAAGGATAGCGCTTATGCTGCTTGATTATTTGCGCCTTGCAAGCATGGGATGGTGAGGTGTTGAACCTGGGCGACAAATTGTGCAAACGAGCATTGCGACCGCGGAGTGGTTTTGATGCATTGAGCATGTAGTGCGCAGGCACTGCAATAGGGATTGCTGGTGAACTTAAGACTGTAGCTAGCGGGTGACATGTTAGATATTAAGACGCTGAAAGAGCGCGGAGCCTTCCCGCTAGTAACGAAGTAAGGCAATTTATCAGCAAATTAGCATGCTTAAACTAGAACTATATGTGAATTTCAGAAGATTGGGGCCGGCAATAGCGCCAGTCCCAGCGCGGGCCACCGCCCTACCCGACCATGGAAGCAAGAGCGCTCAGTAGAGGGACTTCTCGGGAAAATTGGATAGAGAACCCGCACAACGACTGCTTTTATTGATAATTTGGTATTTGTTCCATGAGATATGCGTCGAATGTAGAGGGCTTGTGAAAGGGCGCCCTATTCTTGGGCCAGGTAGCAAAGTAGTAACAGCAGAAGGCGCTGTGTACTACAGGGCTGCTGTGAGTTAGAATGTGGCTGGTGTGCGCCATGACTTTCGCACTGCATGGTAAACGAGACCACTTGTCAATAGTAATAACCAAAACAGTAATGTTTTGGTCATAAATTGAACATTTCTTCTTAGTAATGTGCAAGATTTGAATATAAACGCCGAATAGTTGGTTTTCTTTCTGTGGGAGCCGATCTTATGGCGAAACTGTATGTAGTGCACAGCGCCTACTGCTGCGACTACGCTGCTACTTGTGTAGTGCGTAGCGCCTATTGCTGCGACTACGCTGCTTCCTGCCCCTCGAGCAGGCCTACAAACTACGCGTAGCGTAGGCCCATTTCTCGGGCACTGTAGCTTAATTTCATCGAAATACAACAATTTTTAAGTGTTTCAAAATCTGTCTGTTCGATTCGCCCCACTCTGGGAGCTCGCCTCCTAGGCCCTATGGGGAGGTGTAGTCCTGAGAGACTACAATGGGGCTGACTAGTGTCCTATGGATGATAGCTAGCTAGCGACCTGCAAGGGCCGCGACACTGGAGGGGGACAGGACCCACCCAATACATGAGAAAAATAAGAAAAACTGTTAGTGAGTTCTAGTGAAAACGTGAATTGTGCGGAAATCGTGTGGAAACTGGGGCTGGCGATAGCGCCGGCACCAATGCGGACCTCCCCCCCTAGGGTCTAGGGGGTAAGCTCCGAGAAGGGAGCGAATCGAAGACAGAGAACTCGGACACTTCTTGAATTGTCGTATTTCGACGGAGTAAAGCTATAGAGACAGAGAAATGGGGCTAATCTAGGTGTAGTATATAGACCCGTAGAGGGACAGGAAACAGCGTAGTCGCAGCTGTAGTGCACTGCGCCCGCAGCTGCGACTACGTGCTTCCAGTCCCTTGGGCCGGGTCTATAAACTGCACCCTACGCTAGTCCATTCCCTAGAAACTACAGCTATTGCGATTAAGAATACGAAATCATGAGTTTATCAAATCTGTCTGTCTGTTTCGCACCCTCCTGGGAGCTCGCCTCCTAGTCCCTAAGGGAGGGAGGCTTGCCCTGGCGCCGGCGCTGTCTCCAG